GTACCGTTATAATTGGTGGTTTTGATTGTAAAAAAGTAATAAAGAAGATTAGTTGAAATTCGTTTAATTTTTAATCAAATACTTATTTAACAATTCTTAGACAGATAACAATATAACCAGCAATCTCCACTGTACATAGCGACCTTTAAATACTGATGGGGTGTGGTTTATTGTGTAAATTGAAGGTTACTTCGGGGTACCGGTATAATTCCAGATCATTATTTTCGTCTATAAATGCAATAATGCAGATTAATTTCAAAGGAAATCTTGTTCTGTTAAAGGTACATTTTTCTCGAATCTTAATCATAGAAACGCTGTAGTCTAGAAGAACGTACGTGTAATTTTAAGGTTATAATTAATGGTGGTAATTTGGTGTTACCTGTGAAATTAACACTGGAAATTAACACGCCAATAGATCGCTGATTCTGTTCTTAAACAAATCTTTCTTTGACGCCAATCTGTAAATGGGTTTGGCACATTGACATTTCCTGTGTCACGGAAACAACGTAAGTCGTTGCAGTGTCGGTCAATCAAACATACCGAGGTAAAACAGTATAACAGTTCAATCAAACCATCCATAAGAATAGAATATGGCAGTGTAAGTCAATCAAGCCCACCGATATACAGTATTGGTGTTGTACTGATCAGGTCAAAATTGCATTGGCCAATCAAACTAACCATTGGCAGTGTGCAATGAGAGAAATTTTACTCAGCTTTAAAGAACTACAATTAAATTTCCAACTGTTGAAGGATGTTTAATCTGTAGCTCATAGCATAGAGAACCCATATATTAAGAATACTTAGCGTCAGGTAATGTATGGTGATGCCGGAGAATCAGATTCATCTATGTACTAGAGTTTGGAAGTGTCGGCCAATCATACCCACCGATGTAATACTTGGTTGTACTGACCAGGTCAGAGTTCATCTGACCAGTGGCTACTTTCATTTTACAACTATTTACTTGTATAATAGGTTCTGCATCGCTTATTGTTGAATGACAGGTATAACTGGTATCAGTTAACTCTTGTTTTCTGTAGTCATCCTCGGCGTCATCCTCCGAGAACTGGGGGTATAAATAGGGAGCGGATTTACTCAACTGGGGGTTTGGAAGAATGAAGGAGACCGAGTAACTTACGCCACACCATCCAGGGCCGAGTTTCACTGCCATGTCATTCGACCCGACCAGATCTAACGAAGAATCAATAACCAAACCACCAACACAGAATCATCCAATTTGATCCAATCCAACTACCAACTACTACGACTACCAACAACTACCTTGTTTGCGATATCAGCATCCGCTGGAAGCGAATGTTAACTTGTCATCTGCCTACCTACTCAACTGGGGGATAAATGTTGGGGTTAAGATTCCAAGTAGGAGCAAGCCATCGCATGAGGGTCTGACGGTGATCTACCCCTATTCTTGCACATACTTTTGAGAGCAAAAACGCATCAAAAACACAGATAGAATTGCTTAGAAAAAACTGAGAGAACAATCTATTTTCTAGGGGGTGAAGAAATGCCATCCCTGTACCCCTACTAGCGCCGCAACTGCCTGCCCCTCTGTCCATCTGATTATCACTAGAGTTCAGAGTGAGTCCGACTCCCATCAGATAAGAAATACCTTGTAATCGACATCATCAACATTTCTCACATATTTCTTACATTCTTACTTTGAAGATAAATCTATAATCTTAATGATGTATTTTCCTGTGATTACAACGGAATTGAATGAAATAGAGTTTTACATCTGATTGTTATTGAACACCAATGAAAACTGGTATACAAAGAACAGTGTGAAGTTTTAAGTTCAATGTTTCGTTGTTACGAAGCTGTTAGAGTCAAATGCAATGCAAACAGGCTGGCATATAATTTCGATAGAATGCCTTCCTAAAGCTACGCATCTTAGTATCTTATGAACTGAAATTTTAAATTGACTATTACGCAATTCGGTAAATGAATTCGAAGGCTGACTACTATCGTGTGCATGAAGCTTTGTATAATGTTCCTATATTGACTGGATGTTAATTTCTGTTCGACGCGTCTGATTCATGCAACTGTCAAAAAAGAATATTTGGCTTGATGGGTAGAAAAAGATGATAGATATAAATAACTGTCATAAATAAATAGAAAATCGGAATGGTGAAAATCGGAATGGTGAAAATCGGAATGGTGAAAAGAGAAAGCTATGTGTTGCTATTGTTGGTTTGTTTGAATAGTTCGGGTATACATTACACACATAAAGTAATATTAATTTGAAAATTTATAACGACAAAGAAATCAATTTAAACATTTAAAATCAATTATAAATAAAACATTCAGTGAAGTGGAAATCATCAAATTAAACTGACAAAGAAAATAAAAGATTAAAATTTAAAACTATTCAGATTCAAGAAAGCGACGAGTTTATGAAAAACAACCATTAACGTTTCTTTGATATCATTTAAATTTAAATGAGTAATTTAAAACATTTGGTTTATATTACAATCCTCGTTTTGATGTATATGCTTTGTGGTTGGAGGCGATGTAGCGAGGGGTGAGGGGTATCATATTAGGGGCACGTCTCGGGTCACCTACATCACCTCTTCCCCCACCAGACTGAAAAATAATCAGATTTTAAACTGTTATTCAATATTTCTGACACTATCGTTTAGTTTGTTATATCTAATGTAAATCAATTCAAAGGGATATTGTAGCCGACTTATTAAATTGTCGAGCTATTAAAGACTACTCTCACTGACCCATGTTACTTTTCAGAGAGAATATCCCTTTAAAGGCACATCAAAAGAAATGAATTCTTTTATCAAAATTATTTAAATTATTTCATCAGACAATAAACTATGATAGAATTTTAGAAATGATTATAAGGTTAAAAGTGCAGTAACGATTATTTCATTGTTTCAATTTTGATCAGATTTCAGTGGTTGTATTGTATCTTTTTCTTAGTATATCACAGTGTCACTGGGCGTTATCTTCGTGGGTTATGAAACATTAATATCACGGTATCTTTAAACTCTTTATTTGGTTAGGTTTTTGAGGTCTTCTTTCCGTTTCCTTCTGTTGGTGATATAAAATGGAATTAAGCCAAATTGCCACATATGATATTGTCAAGATTCACTTTTGGAATGAAGGAAATTTAATTCAATTTAATTGTCATTTAATTTAATATTGAGGACCTTTAGAAAATTCCAAACCCTAAGAACAGCTTAGATACAGGAATTAAATTTTTTTTAAAAATTTTCAAAGGTACTATTTTGTGGTTTTACTATAACGATTTAAAATATTACTGTCAAAAATCTTATTTTGTCACCTCAATCAAATATTGTGATAAATTAGTTATCCAATTTAAATCATTTTTACAACTTCACACTTTAGTGGACATGTTGACCAAGTGATAATTCATAGCGGGCACCTGTTCAAGGCCTTGATAAACACCAGTGACATGCTCCTATGTCAATAACCAATGTTAAGACAAATTGAACCCTGTCCTTAAAGTCTACAGTTGGAATCAAAGGTTATAGAACCAGAGCGAGTGGGAACTAGAAAAATACATTAACGTCATTGATTGGGCAGTGTCAATCTCTCCTCGGCGCTCTCGGCGCTCTCGGCGCTCTCGGTACAGCTGCACTCTATTGTCTGGTACTATCAATACTTGGCACGAACTGACCTCTGATCAGATCAATCGATGTGTAACAACCTCAACATAAGTGTCATCATAATTCTATTGTATGTCAAATATGATTTGTATTGTGTAGATATCACGAGAGTATTGTCTTCAGATAAATTATACCCATTACAGTTCAATTGACAAGTAGGATGTAAAACTCCATTTCATTGCTACTATACCTTTCTATTCAATTGGGTAATTTTTACAGGTATCGTTTACGATCATCTGTTCGTTAATTTGGCCTCAAATAATCAAATTTCTTGACCCTTGTAAAATTTGTCAGTGATGATAAATATGAACAAATGTGTCAAGTTATCTCCTGATTTCAGCTGCTCGAAGATACATTGTTAAAACAATGAGTTAATATTTTAACATTTAAAATGAATTGTTTTAATAGTACAGTGTTAAAATGTTGATGGATTGAAACAAACGAGTCAAATTTGAACTCTGAACCTACCAGAAACATGTCCTCTGTACAGGTGCGGAAACAGAACATGAAGCAGAACTCCTTTGAGAAAAGGGAAATATAAAAACATGATTAGCAAGAGAAGACAAAGGACAGTTTCCCATTCAAATTCAGCATAGGTCGAGTTGACAAACGCATGAGGTAGACACAACAATGAGATAGATTGAATATAAGTCCAACAGCCCTCCTGGATCATTCTAGATATACTACAAATTCAACAGAGGCCAATGCTGGAAGCAGGTATATAATAATAACTTTATTAGAAACCCAGTTGCACAAGGCAATCTTCCCTGGGATTTTTCTACATACAACTACAATAACATATTTACAAAATGATAAGGTAATAAAAATTGAAAATAGAAATAAAATAGAAAATGTAGGATGAAAATTAAGGGTCACATTAAGGTGATTCAAATATATATGTAAAAACATTCCAGCGAAATAATACCAATTTTACCTTTATAACCAATATTCCAATGAGTAACCGACTTATTCTTACTTACTGGAGATACAGAATTGACAGTTCGATTGAACGGGAGAGTAAGAGAAGGTAGATAATACTCATTGTAAATTTGCAAAATCAGACAACAAAGGACTTACAATAAGCTAGCGAGTCACTTAGAGAGGACAAATTTACATTCGAAAGAAGTATTGGCAGCATGAGACTGAAAGATGACAGAAGGGGATATACATAATTATGTAATAAAATGTTCTAAAGCAATAGATATCTTTGAATAAGTACATGTTGAATATTCAGTGATTCTAAAAATAGACCAAACACAAAAACAATGGCAATAATGATAATGACGTCATGTTGCTGTTCCGACGGCCGTCTATGACGTTATAACAAGTTAATTCTGTCTCTTTATGGTATCGTATCAGAGAGTCGTACGGAGACAATTTTCTTCAAATTGGTAGTTTTGTGGTGATATTAAAATAAAATGACACGGAAACTGAAATTTCCAGGAGGAAAGGGTGATGCTATGAAGAAAAAGTCCGAAATGGACAATGCGGTAAGTTTTTTGATATCGAATCTATTAATCTTCGTATTGAGGTGCGAATAAACGAGGTCTGGTGCCACTTATCGTTAAGACAATATAAGAAGCGAATACACTAAGTGAAACTTTGCAGGCACAATTCTCTATTTTCTACTGAGTATTGATAATCATTCGCACCGTACACCATACCTAGGCTATTTACACCTTAATACCATATTTCTAATAATTATTCATTTTGAAAGCGTTTTTACACTCCGATAAATTTAAGACACTGGTTGTTGAAATTAGATTCTTCTCCTTTGAAGCCATTTTAAATTTGAGCGCTCATAACGTTACAGAATTTTCTGCTCGTAAAACAACTTTTTATTTTTCGGGGACACATCTCTAGTCAAACGTCTGTGGCTCTTGCAATTGTACTACATATAAGCGTTTTATGCCGCGCTATCAAAATGTCAAATCCATATAAATATTACAGATCAAAGCACTGGAATTTCAATTAATAGATCGATGATTTGATTTTCAATTATAATTTTTTTCGGAACATAGAAAATATTCAATTCCTAACATTCTATTAAACAGAGTTATCTCCCTTTCTGTACTTCTAGGATAAGAGGGGTAAAGATAAAAAAAACGCTCACGGCCATGATGAGAAACATGATCACCACCCTCAGAAAGCGGCAACGAGTGCTGCCAGAAAACGATGGAATATGCCAGCTAAGGTCTGGGATTCCACTTTTGCAAACCTTCGAATTCAGCTTAATACAATACACCGATCCGGACCGAGGAAGTTTAAAAAGCCAAAAGGCAAGATCAATTATTGTGTTAAAAAATTAGACAAAATGGCACGACCAGCGGAAGTGACGTATGCGGTACGTCGAAATGTTGCAGGAGATATGGATTCAGCTTTATGGATGCCAGAAAGACTGGATGGTCTGAGATTTGAGAACAGTTTACCAGTCTCTCACAGTATTCTGGGAACAGTATCTGACTATCTGGAGACCGCGGATAACAGAATCATAGCTATCGAGTTTCGAACCTACAACAAGCTTCCGGATATAAAACCAAAAGAAACCGGGTTTAGGACTCACAACCCATCGTCAGATTTAAAAGCCAGAAGACCTATCTCTGGAACTAACAAGCAAATTCCGGAATTAAATCCTAAAGCAACCGGATTTCCAAATTCCCGCAGTCCTCTACCCGATATAAAACCCCGACCAGCTAAAGGTGATCCTGCTGAAATGAACTGCCTAGTGAAGTGCAAATTTGATCAAGGAAAAGCTCTAAAGTACTGGGAGAACGAAATTACAAAGGGACATGATCTAGGTGAAAAGATTTCACTCAAATGTAAGCGATCTCAAGATGACTTGATTATGGGAAATCATCCTTATAAAGTATTTAAAGGACAGAGGAGGGTGTTTGACGACCTAGAAAGCGCTTGGCAGTCTGAATGTAGGGTAACGAAATCAAACGGATTTTGGAAACAGAGGGAGCAACTTGGAGATACTCTTAGAGGGATCCACATGGCCCGAACTAAACAAGAACGTGGAATAAATCCCGAGCCAGAAGTCGTGTACAGAGCGGGCTCTGATCGTCTAAATGATTGTAGTATTCTTGATCTCAGAATCAATGGCGGAATGCCACCAAGAAATGGACAAATGCATCCGAGCAGTTTTGATATTCACTGCCCATCCGTTTACACAATACCGGAAATTGTCGTTACGGCTATTAACGAGCCAACAATTGAAATAGGTCAACACGTGCTGAGCTGGAGTAATCGGGATTGTGAAGTTGATGTAGAATTAGGAATCGTCACGTGCCCTGGTCAGGCGAAGATGGGGAATCTGGCAGTAAAGAATATCGGTGCCTGTGTAGTAAAATTCGAACTTTTTAAAATTCCAAAAACGGATCATTTCGATTTTCCAAACCAGATCGATGTCAGGGATTCTATTTTCCTTGGTCATTCAGAAGCTATCGTTTTACCAAAGGATTTCCAAAATATCTCGGCAATATTCCACAGCCACCGAGCTACCACTTGCTCAGAAAAATGGCGAATAGAGACGACACCTAGATTAGCAAGGGACATAACTCTTACGATTTGGGGTATAGCTAAAAATCCCACGGAGCTCGGAGAAAATGGCAAAGTCATTGAAGAAGAGATCAAAGCTAAAATTCTGGAAAGTTTCATTGAAAGTATTTTGGATGATATAATAGAAAAGATTTGCTGTATCCCTCCACCAGCCAGAGCGGAAGGTTTTCCAGATGACCTCGGAAAATGTTTTCTGAAAACTCCCGTTGGTAATGATTTGTTTACATTCGTTAATCCAGGTTTAACCTACCACAGTGGAACAGTTTCTAAAATATTGGAAATAACAGAAATATCACTTCCAGTAGTTACTTTCATTTGGTCACTTCCGCTCAACGACATAAGATTATCAATGTGTGATTTGCCGGAAGAAGTCAAATTCAAAAACAACGTAGTTTCAAAGAATGACGTTGCAAACGTTTTGATGACGTTTGTTAACGAATTACCTTATGACGTAAAGTTACCAATGGCAACTAGAAAATACGACATGTGTAAGAAACTGTTAGTGGATGTTTGCAATAATATTTGCGACACAGCTGCGCGGATGAAAAAGGTTCATGGAATCACCTTGGATATGGATTTTTCAATTGATGTATCGAAAGAAGAATTTTTACCGCCGCCGGCCCCAGTAGTTACCCAGCCTTCTAAAGGACATAAAACTCCACCCAAATCCCCTCCAAAAACACCTTCACGTGACAAGTCTAAAAAGAAACCTGTCCACAAGGTACAAGTACCAAAGAGTCCACCACCAGAATCTGGTCCAGTCAGACTAGGTAAAATTGCTCAAGGTATTAAGACAGCCAAGAAATCTCAATATAAGAACCGAGCTAAACCTATCATGTATTTTAAATACTTAGAAAAATTAAATCTCCACTCTTATTTCATAGTGAAAGATTTTATTGACAAATTTGCAGATTATTTATCAGATTTACCCGAGGTTCCTGAGCTAAGAATGTAGATTACTACTAGGATGTAGATGTAAATGTAGAGTGTAGATTGCTAGACTTAGGATGTCGATCACTAAATGTAGAATGTAAATTACATAGCTTAGGGTGTGGATTACTTAAATTAAAATTAGTATTTGAAATACGCGTGTAGATTACTATACTGATGATATAGATTACTAAATGTAGATTACTAAGCTTTGAGTGTAGATTATTAACTAAGAATGTAGATTGCTCAGCTAAAGATTTATATTACTTAACTAACTAAATATAGAAGATATATTACTTAAAATGTATGTTAATTAACTAGAAATAAAACTTACTTATTGTATATTTTGTAGATTATATAAAATCTACAATGTGTATGAAAATGTTATAAAATGTAAATGAAGATGTAAATATATCAATAAACTATAAAATATCTATAATATTGTAACCGTATATCAGGTAACCGTCAGAGGTTAAATGGCACAGTTGCAAACACCAACAAATGATTTACGAGTCGGAAAAAGTGCATACGAAGCAATGGCATTTTGGGTAATCTTTCAGTTCCTTTGAGCTAGAGATGTAGACGTTTTGCGAAGAAAGTATCTTGCTCTTATGACGTTCTGGGGTTGAAATTAAACGACGTAAGACAAAAGTCTTTGAATTGCAATTGTGAGTAGGATATATAGACACAGCTTTATGGAACGACAACCACTAGTTAAAGTTTTATGCAACGTTTCGACGCGATTCCCCCGTCGTACTCAGGTACTTATGTCCCTGTGGTAGGGTCAGTAACACACTAGCAGATGACAATTCGTTCTAGATTAGATTAGCTTTAATTAATGAACTCTAATTTATAATCATATAAAGTCATGTAAGTCTGGAAGGGGGGTTGTTCTACCAAGAGGATAATTTCTGCAGCAACTGATTCAGTACATTGCTCTTCATCTCGACCTGAAAATACCAACAATTATATAGAGACAGTTATTCTTGTATCACATTCATGTATTATCATTAACATCAATCTAGGAAGGGATCTAGCAGAGTTGGTTGGGATTTAGAATCTATACATGACGTCATTTGCTTGGTTACATGGTGGTCGTCTGCTCTAATCTCGGTCGATGTGTATACATCAGTAGGAACGAGTCTGCTCCCTTATCAGTATGTGCACCCGTCTTTGTATAATGCCTATTTGGTTCTTTCTATTGCTTTGGACAAATCTGGAGTGGACATCCGTCTATCCCGTTACACGCATACTATATATTTTGCGATTAGCTAAAAGTCAGCTTACCTTGTGGAACTGGAAAAACTTTATGCTTTCCCCCTGTTACGTCATAGGCAGCTCTAAAAGATGGTCCAATGCCAGATTTTAGACATACTCTGAACTCTTTAGAACTGTCTGTATACCGGAAGTGAACTCTGAGTGTACCACGTGGGTAATTCCACCAGATACTTCCGTTTAAACAGGAAGTAGTCGTGAAGACGTCTTTAATTTCATCATCACCAGGAAGAGCCGGGCTAAACATTACAATTTAAATATGAAAGATTCAAAATACCAATGTTAATTCACTATCATATACAAAACAGACATATTAAAACAAAAAATGAAAATGAAATGAATGGAGTTTTACGTCCTACTTTTCTTCACCATGTGGGCTAATAAAGACGGGCAACCCCATGAGGGAAATTTTGCCAGGCATTAACCTACTCTTTTTCGATTTCCAACTGGCATAGCCTGTATTACACGGGGTCAAAAATTAAAAGATTATATCAAAATCATCTAAGTGATCTTAAACGTTAATTTAAAACCAATGTTTGATTATTCAATCACTTTAACAGAAGACTGGAGGCACCAGAAGTATATGTTTGTGTGAATTTACTAGTAATCGCTATGGTATGAGGGCGCTTTAAAGGGATTGTAAATATTTATTTTTTACAAAAATTGTATGTGTGTTGGGGACACTGATAGCATAAATTTACACCGTTCTAATATTCAATCAGACGTCTGTGGTTCCTGCAATTCCAATAAAATGAAATGTTTGATGATTTCACTAATCGCAAAGGGCCTTATGCGATAAAGCAAATTTAGCAATTAGTGACGTCATCAAACACCTTGTGAAATTACAGAAGCAACAGACATCTGACTGAAAATTGTAATTAACATATTTAGGTTAAGACAAATGGCACCGAAGCAAAGAAATCAACTCACCCATTGGGCATCAGAGTACACGGATCATTGAAAGGTGACGAATGTACAATTACCAGGAGCGATACGAAACATCCCAGAGTTAAATATACCGGATTGGACATGATGAGACAGTGTTTGTCTGTATGATGACCAGGCTGTGTACTTAGATTGTAAAATGACCGGAGATTTAAAGTAGGTTTGTATATATTAAATAGAGCAAGTATAGATAAAGATACGGGTTGGGTCAAAAGAACGCAGAAATAATCATATTTGTTTTCAATGTTTACCTTGTTTCATTTTTGTTTGCTATAATTTTTCACTGCTTAAAGCCGAAAATAGTCGGGGTACGGTTTCTGGTGCGGTGTCCGGTGTGGGGTTAAAGTTCGAACCTTGTGTGAGGTAAGGGTTCGAACCCGGTGCATGCAATGAAAGATGTATCTCCAAGGCGAGAAAAGCCATTGAGTCAAGGGGTCTGTACTTCAGAGGAATGGCAGATGGCCTGAGATTTAAAGAGCTTAGGTTTCGCTTCAAAAAAGACCTATCCCAGGTCCGAGGGGGAGACCATTGTCCAATGTCCATACCCCTTGAACTTCATTTAATTTTTTGTATTGTATTTATGGTATCTGTTTTTATATTCAATATTTTATTCAATAACTGAAAAGTGTAAGGGAAAAGGTTTATTGTAGCTTATATCTATGGTATCGTATTGTCAATGAAAATTATTTTTCGTCTGCGAACAGTTTATAATAGCTGAGCAATATGTTGCCTGATATCATTTTTGTTTTGTTTTTGAAGATATGTGATATCTAGAGCAATTTTGTACTCTATAATAAGGTCATTTGGCGACGGAATTTTAAAACATTACCATCTGTTAAACTGTTGAAGTCATTTCTTAATATTTTAAACAATTACACCGTGACATATTTAAAAGACATTTATTATTATCAGCCGACTAAATCATTTCTCAACAACAATTTCTCTTTATACGGTAGATGATTTAGGACACGTGGTAATCAGTTTGGATTGGATGTCAAAGTCGAGAAAGATATTATGAATTAAATAATAAACACGAGCTATCTATTATTACTTAAGATAGAATGAATAGCGATTAAATCGACGATGTCTGCAGTCTGCAGTCTACAATAAACAGAGTCATGAACCAGTCAGTCAGCGACACCTACTAAAGTGCTATGCAACCTCCTCGTTCCGAATATAAAAAACCACACACATTTTCCAGGATAACGAGGCCAAAAGTCCTATGTATGAAAAGTTAGCCCCATTTCCAAAACGAACTGTCCTGGTGAGGATTGTGTATCCGAAACATTATTTGTCAACAGCCGAGAATAGATTCTTGTTTAATACTAATATAGTAAAGGTTCTGAGATTTTGTAAATATTTTTCAAATCTAATACCTTTGATACTAAGATACCCAAGGATAAAATCAAGATTTGAAGAAATATGATGACAAAACTTAATTCAAAATCAATTTTTTTTTATTGACAGATGACCAGGATACCAAACTAATTATAATTTAAGTTTTCGAGAACAGGGATCATGTTTTCAGTTGGCCCTTCAGAGAACATTTATTAAGTGAAAATATTAATGCATGAGTCTCAATTCAGCCTCAATTAGCGTTGATTTTTATGGTTATCAAAAGAAATAGATAATCATGATTAGTTCGTTATATTCTCACGGTTTGTTTTGGGCATTGCTGTTCATATTACATTACATTACATCTTCACAGTGTCAAGGTATTACAATCTTCATCTTCACATTGTAAAGCTATTATAAACGCAATCTCCACAATGTCAAGCTATTACAAACTACATCTTCACAATGTCAAGCTATTACAAACTACATCTTCACAATGTCAAATTATTACAAACTTCAGCTTCACAATGTCAAGCTATTACAAACTTCATCTTCACAATGTCAAGCTATTTCAAACTTCAAACTATTACAAAATGTCAAGCTATTACAAACACCATTTTCACAATGTCAAGCCATTACAAACACCATCTGCACAATGTCAAGCTATTACAATCTTCATCCTCACAATGTCAAGCTATTACAAACTTCATCTTCACAATGTCAAGCTATTAAAAACTACATCTTCACAGTGTCAAGCTATTACAAACACCACCTTCACAGTGTCAAGCTATTACAAACACCACCTTCACAGTGTCAAGCTATTACAAACACCACCTTCACATTGTCAAGCTATTACAAACACCATCTTCACAATGTCAAGCTATTACAAATACCATCTCCACAATGTCAAGCTATTACAAACACCATCTCCACAATGTCAAGCTATTACAAATACCATCTCCACAATGTCAAGCTATTACAAACACCACCTTCACAGTGTCAGGCTATTACAAATACCATCTCCACAATGTCAAGCTATCACAAACACCATCTTCACAGTGTCAAGCTATCACAAACACCATCTCCACAATGTCAAGCTATCACAAATACCATCTTCACAGTGTCAAGCTATTACAAACACCATCTTCACAATGTCAAGCTATTACACACACCATCTTCACAATGTCAAGCTATTACAAACACCATCTCCACAATGTCAAGCTATTACAAACACCATCTCCACAATGTCAAGCTATTACAAATACCATCTCCACAATGTCAAGCTATTACAAACACCATCTCCACAATGTCAAGCTATTACAAATACCATCTCCACAATGTCAAGCTATTACAAACACCATCTTCACAGTGTCAAGCTATTACAAACACCACCTTCACAGTGTCAAGATATTACAAACACCATCTCCACAATGTCAAGCTATCACAAATACCATCTTCACAATGTCAAGCTATTACAAACACCATCTTCACAGTGTCAAGCTATTACAAACACCACATTCACAGTGTCAAGCTATTACAAATACCATCTCCACAATGTCAAGCTATTACAAACACCATCTCCACAATGTCAAGCTATTACAAACACCATCTCCACAATGTCAGGCTATTACAAATACCATCTGCACAATGTCAAGCTATTACAAATACCATCTCCACAATGTCAAGCTATTACAAATACCATCTTCACAATGTCAAGCTATTACAAACACCATCTCCACAATGTCAAGCTATTACACACACCATCTCCATAATGTCAAGCTATTACAAACTTCATCTTCACAATGTCAAGCTATTACAAGTACCACCTCCACAATGTCAAACTATTACAAATACCATCTCCACAATGTCAAGCTATTACAAACACCATCTTCACAGTGTCAAGCTATTACAAACACCACCTTCACAGTGTCAAGCTATTACAAATACCATCTCCACAATGTCAAGCTATTACAAACACCATCTACATAATGTTATTTCGTACCCATACAAATGTCAAGTAAAGATGTACCACGTCTAACCGGGAAAGTTTCACAAACTCCAGATTTCCTATTTCAGACACCATACAATAGTCTTGGTTTTACAACTCGCGTGTCCTAATTCAGACACCGTACAAGAGCCTTGGTTTTAAAACTCCTGTGTCCTAATTCAAACACGGTACAATGGCCTTCGTTTTACAACTCGTGTGTCCTAATTCAGACACCATACAATAGTCTTGGTTTTACATCCCATGCGCCCTAATTCAGACACCATACAATAGCCTTGGTTTTAAAACTCCTGTGTCCTAATTCAGACACCATACAAGAGCCGTGGTTTTTATGATTATTTCAACGAAATAAAGATATGAATATAATATTTCCCACATCAATCACAGTAGCAACTGGTAAAGTGCACCCACTCGTGTAATGTGACCGACAATTTTTCTATTTCATGTTGACAGGAAATTTTTCTTAAAGGAATACCCCCAACTTAATGAATGAAAATAAAATTTGGCTACTGAGAGTGTCTTGACTTACTAAGAGTTGACGATGATGAGAACATAGTCTCATAAAAGCACTGGCCAAGGTCACAAAGTATAGATTCATGCTAAAACAAGGTTCAAAAGAGTAGAAAATTAATTATGCATTAGTGTCAAAACAAAACAACAGAATCCCTGTCTTATCTTAATCTCAATGATAAGTGAGGAAGAATTTCATTATGAAAAAACGTGGTATCAGGTGTCTAGAAGAAATCTTTATTGTGGTCAGAAATAAAAAGTGAAAAGGATATTTTTCTGATATACAGGTGTCAAGTTAGGAATACGTCCCCCTATTCTGTACCTTATTCTTCTAAGGAAGATGGGAAACTCCACGCAGTATGCCATAGGGGAAATTTTGCTCAGACAGCACTAGCATACTCTTGTTCGATTTCCAGCTGGCGTTCAAGCAGTGGCAGTGGCCAGCATTTTTGTCAACCTGGAAAAATGGTTCCCCCTCCCAATTATACCCCTATTTATTTTTAACAAATATAAAAATAGCACTTTTATACGTTTTTTCATCAAAATATGTGTCAGAATGCAAAAAATCTATTCGAAATTATCGCTGGGACTCTCTCAGACTCTCCACGAATGACATCTTAATCAAGTTTGAATGTATGTCGAAATAACCTGAAGATAATACAGGTTGTTTATCAGTTATGCATGGTCACAATGTGTACAAAAAATACTAACAAGTTTACTTTAAACTATCAGGTTTTTTATAATATACATATAATCATATCTCTTTTCACTGTTTATTACCAACCTTTGATTACTGATGTGGGACGGGAGGCTTTAGATTAGAAGATAGAGTCCAAAAGTTCGAAATTCATTAATAATCTAGCCTTTGCTTCACAGATCTATGCTAATATCTGAATATCTGATTACCACGAGGTTTGTGACTTGATAAACACGAGACGCTAAGGAAACTTCCAGCTTGCAGGGGAGCCTATAATTCACGTCTCCATTTCATGTGAAACAGAATCACTACAACTTTTTTTCTATTGGGTACGATAGAACAATAAACCGAGGCCCCGTGTACTACAGGCTGTGCAGTTAAAGATCCCTTGGAAATCGAAAAAGAGCAGGCTAATGCTGCCATCCTGACAAAATTTGCAAACTATATGGCGTTGCCGTCTTCATTAGCCCAGCAGGTGCAGAAAGGTAGTGAACGTCAAACTCTTTTCACTTCAATTCATTTCTGTCCTTTATTTTGCACTTGAGTTAAATGTCATTTTATATACCCCAATAGGTTTGATATTAATTATAATAAATTAATTGCTATAATGCACTATTATCATAATAGAGAAGCTCAAATAGAGGACAAGTTTTATATAAAAACACACAAAAAACCCGCAACGTTATGTATGCACTCAGGCTTAACGTTAACATGTAGGTTTAAATTTAGGCCTATCAGTACTATATTATGAGCTGAAGATCTTTGATGAGACACCAGAGCAAGAACAGAATGAATCCATACGCATTCACAGCTGGGTCGACTGGAATTATGAGTGCAGATGACTTATTTAAGGTCGTCGGACTTTCCAACGCCGATCGAGATCAAGACCAAGTAAATGACGTCATGTAAAGCAGTGGCGGAGCCAGGTTTACGTGTGAAATATCTGAGATTGCCCGAATCTCTAACCTATTTATAAGATTTATGCCCGAAAAATTTGCGAGGGGGGAGGGGGGGGGGGGTAGGGGCACTGATGTAAAGAAGCAGCGCTCTAACCTATAGAAACCTCACAAATTACAATAAGTTGTAATATTGTAATAATCCGATTTTCATACCCCTCTAAATAAGATTGCCCCGTACATTATCCCCTGCTCTTAGTAAGTGGTATTAATTCATAATTGTACCCGTTTATAGAAGTAAAGCTTGATATGTCAATATTTAGAGGATATTAAATACACTTGAGTTGCTATATTAACATTAAACACTATTCTAGGTTCACTGAACTATTCAAAACATTCTGCTGTTATTTATGTGATTGTGAAGTTACTGTGGTATATTTCGGAGTCAAAGCTCGAAAATCATTTGTAGACTGTAACCGTTCTGCAGTTATACATACGATTGTACAGATAGTGTAGTGCTGTCTGTTCGAAGGCGTTTCTTGAAATTTGTTGTTAAACTGAAAGCGTTCTGCAGTTATTCATTCGATTTTGGAGTTCACAGTTCACTGTAGTTCTCGAAATTCACTGGAAGACTGAAAGCGTTCTGCACTTTTACATACGATTGTACAGATAGTGTAGTTTTGCAGTTATACATACAGATACACTTTTGTAATATTGTAAGTAGGAGAATCTCTGAATTCGCAGGATGTTGGCAGAGTCAGGAAACAAGACAAAAGAAGATGGAGGCGAAGGTTTTGAGATGAAGAAAGAAGACCTGGAAATAGATATAAAACTGGATGAAGAAAAAGAGAAGTCAATATTTAGAAGAATTAAGAATTATTTTAAAAGTGAAAAGAAATTGCTAACTTTACTGACATTAACTGGAGTAGTCGTTGGGTTTATTGTGGGTTTTATTTTAAATCCTTACTCAGTTTCCGACTCGGCTCTGTTATGGATAGGTAGGTAGAATCAACACACTTAATTTATATGGTTGTTTGGTAGATGACGAGTTAACGTTCGCTTCCAGCGGATGCTGATATCGCTCTAGATTGTTTTATTTATCGCTAGATTTGGTGATTTTGGTTGGTTGGTTGGTAGATGACAAGTTAACATTCGGTTCCAGCGGATGCTGATATCGCAAACTAGCCATAGTTGGTAGCCATAGTAGTTGGTAGTTGGCTTACTTAAAATATATTGGCCTCATACAGACAAATATCACCCACACAAGGAGTGTATAGAAATAGAAAGTGGAATTCATAGTTTGAGATATTTTTGAAAGAAATATGTGATTTTTGGACATTTCTAGCAATCAAAAATCTCGTCCAAATAAAGGCAAAATCGGAAGTAAAAGTTGTACAGCAGTGGACTTTCCAAAGTACCATCAGGTGTTTCGAAAAGAATAAGCAGAAAGCATGGTCTGCTTCTCGCACAATTCTTCAATATTGGTGGAATTGGGAGTTGTGCAAAAGATTAGTAAAATACACTTTATAACGCGGCACACCATCAGTTAGGTCCATAATGTCTAGGATGTAAAACTTCATTCCATTATATCACCAGGTTTACCAGGAGAGTTGTATATGAGAATGTTAAAAGCTGTTATTTTACCTCTGATAGTAAGCAGTGTTATAGTGGGTAAGTTCCTCAACCAACCCCACCCCCATTCTACAGTGTCTCATTCATAATACTGAGGACATACCAACCCAAAACACATCTTTTATCATCATTGGTTATTGAGACAATAGAATATTTGGATTAAAACTCTGTTAAGACTAGTGTTAAGAATGCAAAACTATTTAAAGGTTTGCGTTTACTGCATGTCTGAGTACATGGATGTGTTCAACTATCTTTGTTTTTGTAGGTGCAGCTTCAGTGGATCCTAAATCGAATGGTAAAATCAGTGGAATAGCTATCACCTATATTATAATAACTAACCTAGCTGGATCACTGTTTGGTCTTATTGTAGCTTTAATCATCAAACCAGGTAAATTGACTGTTTGTTCTGCCTTCTGACTGGAGCTTGATTAAAAGGATACTACCTCTTAGAACGGACATTAAATTTTAACTCTCAAACAAGTTTATATATTCATCAGTTGACCCGAGCTGGCTTAAAAAAAAAGGAAGAACAGAGTTTAAACAGCCAGAACCAAGATCTCGTGAATCTACCCTTCTCTTAATGACCCAGTTAGAATAACTTTTTAATGCCTTTATTTTTGAGCCCCAGGCCCGTAGCAAGATCTGATTGTTCGGCGAGACAAGTAATATATCAGGAGGGGCAATGGCGTATGGTGTTAAGTTGCCCTAATGGAATTCGTCGGCTGCCCCCTGGAGCCATTGGGCATTGTATAAATATCGGGGAAATGAGAAAATGTTCGTTAATATTCATGTAGATATGCCCAGATCTTCTTTAAAAAATTTCCAATTTTGAACTCATAGTGGTTGAAATTGTTTTAAATCTATTCTCATAAGGTTCTGGTCAGATAGTACAGATGGATACTGGGATACCTGAGACTCGTTTACAAACAGAAGATATTTTTGCCGACCTTATAAGGTAATCTCCGTAACATTTGGAACATTTATTTTATCGTTATGGTTATCGTTAGCACTTCGTTCAATTTTTACATTCACAGGACGATCTGATTGGCTGCTTGCATAACTGAAATTAATATGACCTACTAGGGTCCAGCACTTTTTATAGACTTAAATATCGATCTTTCCTAAAAATTTGGTCACTTTGGTATAAAAGAAATGTTCCTTTTGCATATTATTCTCCAAGTAACCTTCGGGGCTTTGCATGGTTACATACAATTAGCATATAAGTAACAGCTGTGGCTTGTTTCCGAAACCTTATTCAAATAGTCGTATAATATCATGAGTACATCAGTAATGATAATATTTCTTTTAACCAATGATATACTATTTATTACAGAAATTTGTTTCCCGAGAACATTGTAGCCTCGACTTTCCAGAAGACGCAGACCAAGTATAACAGTCGGGAATTCCCCTTGATGAAAAATATATCGGGGGTGATGACCAATTCCACCACCACGAGCTACAGTCGTGCAGTAGGCATCATTCCTGGCACCAATATACTAGGTTCGTATCTTGATATGATGTTCGTGGAAAGGTTTTATGTTTAGTGCATCGCAGTTTGTCGGAATATTGTATTACATTCCATTGGCACAGAAAGTGAAGACAGTTCTTAATGACGTGTAAAAAGAGTGACATGTTCATGGAATGTTCCCAAATGGCAGGCGGTGGTACTGTTTCATTTCATGTCAATGGCCTAAAACTTACAGAAGAACGACAGATTTGAAGGACGATATAGGATGACATTTTCATCGTGACTTCTGCCTTGATGTTCGTTGAGTTCACTCTCATAACATTAATCCTATGTTGAAAAGTTAACCTCATTTCAAAGTAATACCGGCCCTGATGAGAATTTCAAATTTGAAATATATATTGACAAACGAATAAGCTCCCAATTTCGTTAAACTTGGTATTTACTTTGATAATTATATGCGTATCGCTAGTTGAATAGTAGAATTGTTGCTATTGGTGTTTCCTTTATAACTGTTTGATATTACTGGTATATTGAAATATATTTCAAGGTTTGATAATTCTATGTACATTGCTGGATACAGATTGTAGAATTTCGTTATCGTGGTTGTGTCCCTTTACTCTAATATTGAAATATATTTCAAGGTTTGATAATTCTTTGTGCTCTATTGGGAATGGCTGCTGGGAAAAGAAAAGAAGCCAGCGCACCGTTTATCATGTTCTTTGATGCCACGGAGAAAATCATAAGTCAAGTTTTAAACTGGATCATCTGGTAGGGTATTTTCTTTCTTTTAATTCATAAATTTGCTCTTCATTTACCTTTTGTGGCCTGGATTAACTGCGGTAAACAAGAGTTACTGCCCCTTTGCTCTGAGGAGCGAAATGCGTACACGTGTAAATAGACGAGCTACGTTGTCCTGTACTGTTGTACTTTCACTCTGTCCTTTTACTTCTCATGTATGAATATTTAGGAGACGTATCGATGCCCTCTGCCGAGTTTCAGTCGACAGAAGTGGACAGTGCCGAAAATTGGGCTCTGATTATATTTTACCTTGATTATCTATCTTGGTATACTGTAACTGCATTGACGTCATACATATCATTGCGGAAATGAAATGTGATGTTTTATGTTGGTCTGTATTTCAGGTACACCCCTATCGGTGTAGCCAGTCTAATCGCCCACGCCCTGGCTAAAGCAACAGATATGACCACCAACTTTACCAGCCTGGGATATTTTGTGTTAACTATAGCAGTCGGTGTTTTAGTGTATCAGTTTATTCTATTTCCTATTATGATATTCATCATCTTTAGAACCAACCCATACAAGTTTCACCTTAGCGCCGTCAAGGCTCAGATGACTGCCTTCGTGGCTCTCAGTTCGTAAGTTCTTGTTAATAGTTCATAAAGTTTCACTTTCAAAAAACGTCCATGATATGACAAACTATTAAACACTGAGTTGATATATATTTCAATGGCTGGAGATTCATGTCTCTCTCATGTCGAAATAACACGCTTGAAAGAGGATGGGGTGGGGCTGTCTGAAATCGACCTTGAGACGGAGAAAATATTGTAATAATGGACCAAATGCAAACACGTGGCTTCCTGTGTTAGAATTTAATGAATGGCTGGAATCGACCTGAAAAGTGTGCCATTTCTCATCAGTTGCTCATGGTAACTTTCTAAAAAAATGGACGTCGAATGAAGATTGAGCAATTATTGAGTATATTATCTACAACTATCTTGTATTTCGCAGGTTTGATTAGACAGTGGAATGAGTTTTGTTGAGACCGCAGTCGACCTTGGCACACCTTCGTACATCCCCTTTTTTTGTTTTTATAACAGCATTATTTGTTATTCCAGAGCAGTTGCTATTCCTGACATGTTTCGCTGTGTTGAGGAGAAGCATGGCGTTGATCCTAAGGTTTCTAGATTTGTTGTTCCGTTAGCTGTAACATTGAATCGAGATGGTAGCGCCCTCTTTATTTGTGCTACTGCGATATATATCGGGCAGATAACTGACAATCTAACAGCTGGTACTATCGCTATGATGTGGTAAGCAGATCTAGGACCTTATATTCAAAAGCATTAAAAAGAAATTCAGATTTTAGGAAATACTGCCTTAAAAATTCGTCGTATAGTAGTGGAGTACCAAGGAGAAGTACCAGTGGCGTTTCTAGGAAACACCAGGTGATGGGGGCGAGCAGGGGCCACAAAATATTCCAAGGGGCCACAGGTCATTCTTTCACTGTATAAAATGGGGATGGGCGGGCAAACCCGGGACAGCCTCTTTTCTAGGGGGTGGGGATACAATCACATTGTGGAATGGGTAGAACGAAATGAAACGAAATTAGATTCAGACTTAATATGGGTTATCGGTTTGAATTGTGTGTTTCGTTCAAAGTAGTCTACAAAACCTTCTATATTAACCTGATGGTATTGATATATTTCAGTATTTTAGCGTTTGTTGGATCGTTAGCAGTACCAGCTATACCTAGTGCCAGTATTATAACTCTTCTAATTATTCTCTCATCTTTAAATATTCCACCAGCTAATATCGGATTGATTATGGCTCTGGAATGGTTCACGTAAGTAGATAATTATACTTGTCAATGTAATTGTGAAAGTACTTTACAGCGGCCAGGTTATCAGTCTATTGTTTTTAAATTAAGCGAAGTAGGAGCTCTAGATTCGAGGTTCCTGCTACCGATAGGAAGAAACCGCAAGTATTAGTGTACTTGCCACTTGCTACTTGCTAAAGCTATCCCGACAAACAGTTTTTGATTCTAGTATAGCTATCAGATTGTCAGCAAGTTTTAAATTGAAATGACGTGTGTTCGTGCATAATGTAGGTTTCAAAATAACACCAGTAATGACGTAGTGATATCCGGAGTATGCGTATATGTGTAATATGGAAAACATTACCGCATAGATGTGAATCTCTTTCTATTAGGTATCGTATGATTACAGATGTATGTAGAAAACATGGTCGAACCGCATGTGTGTAGGAGTTTTCAATATTGTCTCTTGATACCACGAGCATATTACACAAGTGCGTAGTAAAAAATATTTATAAACCTGTTATTTAACAGAACCTGTTATCTAACAGATTGTATGTAATGTTTGAATCAGTGTTAATGATATATATTTTCAGCGACAGAATACGGTCAACCTGTAATAGTTATGGTTGTATCATCTGTACAGTGGTTACTTACAAATATACTAAACATTTTCTACAAGAACAAACCTCCACCCTCCTGGCACCGGATCAACATAAACTGAAAAGTCCGGAGCCGACGATGCAAGCTGGTGATAAAACTATCTAGATGTTTTGTTTCAGAAAACTCTCCAGATATGCTATTCTATCATTTAAACTCGTTGACAATAATGTTTATATGTGTTGATCTACGAATAAATGCGGTACAGTTATCAATGTAGTGAGGGTACAGAATTATTATCGCTTGAGTAGAAAAATGGAAGGATTGAAAACAGTACATGTGTTCAACCACACACAGTTTGCTAGTTCTATTTCCTACTGTATCAAGAATTCTCACCACACATCAAACCATGCCTCGTCTATTAACACCTCCCGGATTTTTGCTTTTTGATATAATGTGTAACTATATTTCTACTATAATTTTTTTCAATATTTGAAATATGTATGAAACACCTTATCAAGTGGAACATATTAAATGGATAAGTATTTACTATGCATATAGTGACTGTAAACCCTTAACCCTAGCAGTGACCTTCGGACACCTGCAAGAATGGTTAATTCTAAAAGATACCTAAGGCTACCCTACCCCAATCATCACCCGATCGACAGCCCAGTCAGCATAGTAAACATCATCCTTTACGTCTTCTCTGAACTAATTTCTGATGTCTAGAGTAATGTTTTCCCGGAGTAGTCCCGTTGTGTTCTGCCGCCCCCTTCCATCATATGATCATATACTTAATTACAACAATGATAAACCAAACATTTTATTTTTTCAATGTTTTCATGTTACAAAATAACGTACGACGTACGATTTTATAGATAAAGATCCATAAATAGCTCAACTAAGATCGAATGTACGGAAGTTGGTCGAATATGAAAATGGCTCCAAGCATTGATAATATAGCCACGCCCATTGAAGACAAATAATCGTTTGTTAAGGTGGGAACAGACGTGATACGTTGTCGGGATTATGTACGAGGCTCAAAATCGTACCCAGAACCGTACCTCGTGTATGTATCGATAATCAACACAGCACATCACATCAGACATCCTGTCAAGTCTGTTCGCACCTAAAGACGTACGTTAGTATTATACTGGTATGCATGTGCCCTTCGAAAGAAAATCATGTGAAATCTTGCGACAGAAAGTATCACTGTATCAAGAGTTATCTCCCTGCAATAAATGAAATACTAAATAAGAGAAGCGTGTTCCTCAAGTACGCTCGATGTATTCACTGCTCTGGTGAAATTATCTATGTACTATTAATATTACAGCTTTGATGATAATGCACGTCCGGGAACAATTCAAAACATCAACAAGATCAGTCGACTTAATTTAAGGTAGTGTAAGTAGTAATCAACACAGAGTAAGTCCATCCAATATATTTTTTAATAATATTTTTTACCTTTAAATAAAGTGGACTGCCCGTGTTTATGTTTTTGAATCGTACCCGGATGTATATATAATAGGCAGATATTCATGTATATCAGCAACTGCATTATTAGAGTACTTATAAATACACCATTCGTTTTGAAGAGTCGCTTCTTCCCTTATTTTATAATTAGTGAAAGCAAGTAACAATTCTAAAATCAGCAGGGCTATATCTTAATGTACTTTGTACAGTTGGTTACTATTTGTGCCTACAGAAACGGCAATTGATTTGAAATGGTACTGATTTGAAATCGTAGAGGTCATCAACTGCACAAGTCATCCTTTAAGAAAATGATACATACAACCATCATCAATTAAACTATCATTTCAGAAACTAAAATTCCGTAAAATCAAATAACGTTCGATGATTTTCTAGGACAAAAAGTCTTGCCCTATTTTAATGTTTGAAAACATCTAGGAATACAAACAGTTCGGATAGCAGAATGAGTAAGACATAAAAAAAAACCTCATTTCGTTTAATTTAAACCAAACTGTAAAAAATATATATCTTTTATCTTGGCGTAACCTGATCGAAGAAAAACTTTTGAAAACATTTTTTTTTTAATTTAACAGGCTGTCATCTCAATCTCAATCTCTTCAACACAAAGAAGGCACATTTTTTTTCAAGATGCATCCGAAAATACAAGATAGTTCTTGTACCATAGGTAGATTGTTTTCTGCAGAACAACGTCGACAATTACCAAAACATGTCTCCTTTCTGATCGGTTTTAATGCTACCATGGTTCTTTTTCCAGATTGAAAGTGCCCCATGACACAATCCACATCGATGCTTTTTCCACCACTCCGTTCACATTCCAATGCACATGCTTTTCCGTTGTATACATCCTTACCCCAGTCGTGCACGCAATATAGACATTTCGTCAGACAGGTTGTGACGAGAGAGAACCCGACCACTGAGGGTACAACCAAAAATAATCCAAAAACTACAATTCGCAACATCCTGAAACGATAAAAAGAAATTTTCATGAAAAATAACTATGATGAAATTATCATGAGATGAGGTTAAAAAAAGTTAAAGAAGTTTTACTTCCTAGCTCTGTACATTATCATCAAATGATATCTTTTTAGAGAACTTGAGTTTTGTGTCCAAAGTTTACTCTTTCTTTACATGTAAATAATAATGCTCCACGAGATTGCATTGTGCCTCTCTGGGTCTTGCAATCAGAATAAATCTTACAATAAGAGTTTGTCGTAACTGTGGAAATGTACACAGAGAAATACCCTACTTGAAACGGTGCCCAGATGTTTGCGAACAACCGCAAACCACTGATTTGCCCAAGTCAGCACCAACACAACAAACGTGTGATCTGTGAACTTACGCTGTTTCCACTTAGCTGTTAATGGGTTGCTTTCAGCCCTGAATGTTTGACGCTTTCTCGTCAACCTAGGACTCCAGAGTGTAGGAGATCATACAATCAGTGGCAAATTTATTCCTTTAAGAACTGAAGTGTGACATATTTTACATTTTAAATAATTGGCTTACAGACAACTTGTGTTCAAAGACGTTTTTCAAATGTCTACATTAATTTCATATTCCGTTACATCAATACAATACGTTAACTAAATCATATTCCGGTCCACTAGTCATGTCTGGTTTCTCATTTTTAAAATACTTTAAATCTCCCCTTTTGTTTAAAAGTCAGATCATTGACCTAATTGACTCTTGTTTAACGTTTTTTAAAACACCCAGGTTAACTCTAAAGGCAGCCATCCTTTTCAGATGGTTTAAGAATTGAAGTTGTTTTAATTGTCATCCAAAAGTCCTGTTGGAACCAGTATTCTTCTTATATATTTCAGATTTGGAAGATAATGAATTTGCATTTCAAATATTCTATATCATTCTTTTAAACTAACTTCACAAACATTGCTCTATCACTAGAGGTTACGCCTACATGCCTGTGCCTGTGCTTTCGTAACATTGCTTAACCGCAATGTTACAACCTAAAATTCCAAAAGAACATTTTAAAAACAATTGGAAAGTCTTTTAAATTTCTCTTAAAGAAACAGGTTTGCCATTTTCGGGAGTTGATTGGGGTTCTGAATATAATGTAACTAGTCTTCAGAAATGTACAACAATCGTATAATTCCTTGTCAAATACCTCGGAATAGGAATTTTACTTTCTGTTTAATATATGTCCTTTCTATATATTGCAGAGTCTCAAGAAAAGACGAGCCGTCATTTTAACTTTCAAACGCAGATACTTCTGAACATACGTGGATTTGAAGGCTCATAACACGACGGTGAGCTGTGAACATTATTACTGATAAGCTTAACTAAAACAATTTCTCTGAGAATAAGATACGATTGGTCAAATTGAGAGAGAACCTGTCCCTTTGAAGGTTCCAGTAGCCACCATTGTCTAATTTTAGCAAGTCTGACACTAAATGATTTATAGGGAATCTTTTCACATTTGTCAGACGTCCTTTGTTACATTTTTAAAAAAGTCTTCCGCAATGAAGCTAATATTTCTCTGGTTTGCTTTATTTCATTATACTAAGCCTAGTAAATCGTCTTATTATTGCCCATTTCTCTCTGTCGTCTACGAACAATCACTGTAATTGGTTGTTTTTATCGTTTCGAATAAAATAAAGTATGAAATTTCCGCTGATAAAGGTCAAGAACATGCTTGCTTTCAGACGACGTTGCAATCAGAAGTTCAATTGCCAAGCTTCCTGGTTCATTCATTAGAATATTAAAATGGCTATTTGTACGCCCGCACTTTGGTGAAACGTGGTATGCATATGCATATTGATGAGATCGCGGGCGAAGAACTGAATGTCGATTTCAGTGCTGGAATGTGCTACACATGGCTGGGCTCTTTCAACTGATGATGCAATATTTACTGGATTTATGTACGAGTGTAATGGTTATCCAGGTAATCCAACTTCTACATAGAAGACTAATGGCTTGTTTCTGAAAAGCGCAATTAGTAACAAATAGTTGAAAAAGTAGGTGGTGAAATAATTACGATCTAATTTTAAAATATAAATCAAGTAAAATCAATATGAACAATCGTCTCAAAATGAGAACAAACCTAACACTAACGAAGGTTATTTATTGAGCAACTTTTTTAGATTCAGAGTCCGAAACTTTCTAGATACATTTACTTGTTAATAACTGTCCGAAAAAACTTTGCCAAGTATCATTTTCCAGTCAAATATAAGAGGCAAAAGGGATATGGGGAATGGAAAAGGGCGAAATTAAAATAGACTAGAGGGATAATGGAAGGGGTGTTGCTTTAAAGGAAGGTATAGAAACAGACTAGGGAGAAAATGGAAGGGGCGTTACGGTAAAGGGCGATATGGAAATAGACAAGAGCGAGGCTATTATAAAACACTATGCTTCAATACGAACAAAGATTCCATTTGAGTATTGTCGTCATCTGATGAGTCAATCAGTAAAATATAACAAAGCATTTCATAAAATATAGAATTTATTCTAATCATTAAAAGGGAGTTTGAGCTTTATAAATAGAGAATTATAGCTAAATAACGTCTCCGAATGACAAAGAATACATTTTTATTTTATTATGAAGTGAAATTTGGTTTTTACATTAGTGACAATAGAGAAGATTTAATCCCTGTTTTACTATAACTGGACATTTTAATAAGCCGACAATTAGACAAGAATGGGCCAGCCTCTAGGGTGAAACCATC